ATTTCACAGACTGCAAAAAAACATATTCAGAAGCTTTACCACTGTGATGTATGTGTCAATCATTTTTCACAAGAATGACAACTCTCTGCGGGAGAGTTTAATTTTACCTCAATAAGACACAGGGAGCAATGTGATGTGTCAGTTGCAACATAAATAAAATATTATCTATGATCTATATTTCTTTGGAATTCAGTTACTTTTAATCCTTTTATGCTTGGCCATCTGACATGTTAGTGAGGCTGTATTACTGAAAGAAGTAGACCTTGCTTATTTCATATAAAAACACTGCTGTAAATGTGCTATTGTTACATGGTTTGCTTACAGAAGAACAAATGATTATCTATGTGTGTGTTTGTTGTGTGTGTATATCTCCGACAGGGCCAACCTTTCCTGTATAAAGGCTTTTCATTTTTAATCTTTCCCTTTCCCAGTTATTCTCTTGTTATATGTGTAATTATAATTGTACATAGCAATAAATTCAGACCTATAATTACGGCCCGGCTCCAGCCAGTGTTTTTTTTTTTTTGTGTATGAATTAGAAAACAATTGACATTTCAGGTTTTTAGTTCTGCATAAGATTTATTTCTTTATTAAATATAATATAGTGCTGTCAATTTATGCAGAGCTTTATATATATTGCACATTCACATCAGTCCCTGCCCTCAAGGAGCATACAATCTAAGGTCCCTAACTCACATTCGTAAATACGCTAGCTAGGGCCAGTTTAGACAGGAGCTAATTAACCTACGAGAATGTCTTTGGAATGTGGGAGAAAACCATGCAGGCACAGAGAGAACATGCAAATTCCAGGCAGGTAGTACCGTAGTTGGGATTCGAACTGATGTCTCTAGCGCTGCCAGGCGGAGGTGCTAACCACTTAGCCACTGTGCTGCACACAAGGATTTTTTTACTTCCTGTTCCTGTGACACCTGTGAAAGAAATGGGGTGTGCTGAAGTTCCAGCGCAGAATGGCGAGAATGGCAATAAACACACAGACAGAAATTTCAACCTTTCCTTACGATATTTAAAATGAGATTTTATGTGTGTCTCATGGAAATATTTCCCTTTACATCCTATGCTGTTTTAAAACCGCATCAGAACTCGCAGATCCAGACTAACATAAGCACTGGAACCACTAGCTGTAAGTGACAGTTGGAGTCCAATGCTAAGCTCAGAGGCTGAAAGGATCGGCTCCTGGGCTTTCTATCCTGATACCCTGCTTCACTCTGTAGCAGAGAATGTAAACAAAATGCTTCCCCAATGTGTTTGGTCCTCATGCACACTGGATGTTTTTACAGCGGCTGTTTTTGGTTTTTGATGTTTTTTTCTACAGCCAGTAAACTCCCCAGCATGTTATCCTATGTGTCCATGCACACACAGACTGTAATCAACGTTTTTTGGCTGAGAAAAAACCCAGGACTAGTGGGTTTCTAGAGGAGTGTTTTAGCTGTATAAATGCTCTAACGCTGAAAAATGTGGCAAACGTCACAAATCGGTGTTCTTGGACTTTTTTTGACCCAAAAAATTTTGGGGGGTTAAAAAAATGCTAAAAACGCAAACTCAGGAAAACACAGCAAAACGCTAATGCAAAAACGCTAAAAAAAAGCTGAAAAATCACGTTTTTTTTAATGTGACTTTCCACAGCTAACATTACCAGCGTTATCAAAACACCCCGTGTGTGCACGGAGCCTTACAGTGGAATTGAAGTGCTGTCACAACATCATACCTTTTCCTGTCAGTATGGAGACTTGGACAGAGCTGAAGCAGTAGATCGTTGCTATAGTGATCCATTGATGACTGATTGTCTGCGGCAGTAATGTCCGTTATGTGTGGCACTGTACTGGGGTACCATTTATTTTTAATGGCACCCCAGCATACTAAGAAAAATACAACATACAGCAAAGCACTTGGAGCTACATTCCTGAGAAAAGGCCAGGTGCATTTTTTTGCCGCACAGGAGTGCATTGGCAGCCCTTAAAATTGAACTCATTGCCATAACTCATTGAGCATTAACATTCATCTTATAGCACCGGAACAGATTAAATCTGACCTCATGATAATAATATGGGGTCATACTATTATTATACAGGATTTCGATAGCGCCAACAGTTTGCTCAGCGCTTTACAATATAACGGGAGACAATACAGCAACAGTACAGTTCAATACAAGAGGGTTAGGAGGACCCTGCTCCTTGGAGCTTACAATCTGGGATTGAACAGATATAGCCAAATTCCTTCAATGGTATTTTTAACTAAATAAAGGTAGCTTGTTGCTTCATTTTAAAGGTATATAAGCTGTGAACACATTTGTGCCTTTAAAGCATAAGTAAACCTAAAAATTAAAAAAACTACTGGCTGTTAGGATTTTTATGACAGCAGAGTTTTCTCCCTATCTGTCAGCTTTTTTGTACACTGAGCCGCACATGCACAGCTCAGCATACATTTATGACACCGCTCTGTGCCATGATGATGTGACTCCCATTTGTAGGAGTGATGTCATCACGACTCAGTCAATCATATGGCCAAAGAGTACAAACCCTAAAGGAAGACTATGAGAAGATGGAAGCTCCGTGATAGCTGAGAAAGGGATCGCTTGGCAGGTAAGTCTGCCATTGTGTGTTAATATGCTATATATAATAGTACATTATGGCATAAAGCTCCTTGG